GTAACCATTGTTGATGACCTTATATTTTGTTTTCACATTATCTATTATGTCCATCCTTTTGATTTGACTGACTCTGTTCTGATATGTCACATTTGGTTTTACTCTCTTCAAAAAAAGTAATAAGAAATGTGGGAGTAATAAAACCCAAAATGTGTAATTGTCATTGTACAAAAAAAAAAAAAAGAAAGAAAAGAAAGTGCTCTAAAGGTTATAACTGCATATATGTTTAAGTGTATAAGATAGATAACCATATTACTGAGTGTTTTTTGGATCATTCGACAAAACTGCACCCTCACTGTTTGAAAATCCACTTTATATGCTTCAATTTTGTAACTTGAACAACTATTTCTAAGATGAGAATATGTAATCTATTAACTAGTGATTTCTTACTGTTTATTTTTTAAATTTTGTATTACTTGTACCCCTTTTCTGTTTTTTTCTTTTTCTCCTTAAATTAAAAAAAAAACAATAGGAATTTATTCTCTTGCAGTTCTGGTGGATAGAAGTCTGAAATCAATTTATTGGCAAGGTTCTGCTCCCTCTGACACCTGTTGGGGAAGATCTTTCCCTTCCTACCCCTGTATTCTGGTAATTGCAGGCAATCCCTGGTATTCCTTAGATTATAGATGCATCTCTCCAATATCCGCCTTAGTTTTCATGTGAACATAGAAAAATAGATCACTCCATCCACTTCCCCCTCCCTCTCCCTGTCCCCTCCTTCTGAAATGGAGTTTTGCTATGTTGCCCAGGCTTCCTCACACTCCTGGGCTTAAGCCATCTGCCTGCCTCATGTCCTGAGTAGCTGAGACTACATTTGTGTGCCACCACACCTGACTTCTGTTTTGATATGAATGCCTCCCCTATGCAGAGGTCCCCAAACTACATATTTCACACCAAGGACAAACTTTCTTTTGGTGGGAGAGGGGGGTGGGTTTCAGGATGATTCAAGGAAGCTAGGAAATTAGATCCCTCTCATGGGCAGTTTGCAGTAGGGTTGACACTTCAATGAGAATCTAATGCATCTGCTGACCTGACAATGGTGGAGGACAGGTGGCAGTGCAACCAATGATGAGCAGCTGCAAATGTGAATGCAGCTTCAAAGGAGCCTGCCTTCACCTCCTACTACGAGGCTGGTTCTTAATAGGCCGCGATGTTACCAGCCTGGATTGCGGAATCCCGCCCCTGTGTATCTTTTTGTGTATTCCCTCTCTCATAAGGTCCACCCTAAAGACCTCCTCTTGTCTTGATTACATCTGTAAAGATTTCCTATTCAGATCACATTTATTGGGTAGTAGGACTACAGTACATCTTTGTGAGGGACACAATCCATCTCAACATAGCACATGTACTTGGCATATGGCATAGTAATCATTTTTTAAAAAATTGCTTTCTCTAGACTTAGTTCTTTGACAACAGAACTGTCTTATTCACTACCGTATCCCTTGGGTCAAAGGTAGACGTTGGCACACTACATGCTCGCTCAGAGAAAATTTGAATAAATGTACAGTCTGAAATCCCAAATTATTGCTTTTACTCTTCTTTCCAATTTCTTTTTTTTTTTTTTTTTGTGTCTTTTTCCTTTTTATTAGTACCAGGGATTGAACTCACGACTGCCTGCTTTACAAGGCAGGTGCTTATGCCACTGAGCTAAATCTCCAGCCCCTTCTTTCCAATTTCTACCTCTTTTCTCCTTCAGAACCCCTAACTGTCCTTTGGTATCTTTCTGTGTAGTCACAATATTTTACTCAAGTAGTTCTGGCCTTATACTGAGAATTGTTACTGCCTTTTCTTCTCGTTATTACCTGCAGTGTAACTCAGTACCCTATCCTGTGTTCCCTGGACTACAATGAAACCCTTTGGAAAGTTTCTCCAACATCATCTTCTAGCTACTTCCCCATCCATTCTCCAAACTGCAACTTGAGTAATGATATTAATATATATTAATTATGGTTTGTGTCTAGATAGCCCACTTTAGGCCTAATCCCAAAGGGTCCCCCCCCCCAGAAGTGGCTAAATCTAGAGAATGAGATTGATTCATAGTGCAATACTGGGATTCAGGATGCTGGGATTAGGGGTAGGTGATTGCTGGATCAATCCACTGATTAGATTGGCACTATGCTAATTCGAGTAGACTGGATATAATATAAGGGATGGAAGAGGCTCGTCTCGCTCTTGCATGTTGCATTTGCTGTTGTTGTCCACCATCATGAACAGTTGCCCCTCAGCCATGTGCCACCCTGTCTTGGAGCCAGCTGATAATGGACTGAAACCTTTAAAAACTGTGAGCTAAATAAACCTTTTCCCCTTTAACTTTGGGTGTTGGGTAATGAGAAAGTTACTAATGAGAAAAGTTACTAAGCAATGAGAAAAGTTGCTAAGACAATATGAAAATTCATCTGGCATCTTATTACTTAAAATTCAGTTTCTTACCATGTGTGGGATAAATTCCAAAAGTTGGAATATGGCTTTTAATACTAGTGATGCTTTGTTCATGTCTCTCATTTCACTGCATCTCAACCACCCTCCTTGTTGCTGTTTATGCATTGGCCATCATTAGTTTTCAGTATCTCAATTATAATATGCTTTTTGTTGATTTGGGCCTTTGCATGTGCTATTATTTCAGCATAGAAGGCTCTTCCCAAATATGTATCTTTTACATCTTATGCAAAAATCTGTCTTCAGGAATTTTCAGGAATTCCTTCAGGAATTTTCTATAACTGTTTCTTCCCAGGTTTAGTTAGATCTCCCGGCTACCAGTGTACCAAGATAGGTTTTCAGAGTACCATGTATTTCTGTTGTGTAATCCTCATCAATCCTACCTGTTTGTTAAATGTTTGTTTTTCCCTGCTACAAGATAAACCAGACAGGGCACCTCTATCATGAACACTCTTTGTTTAATAAATGGTACTCAGCACATTTTTGCTTGAAGAATGGATTTATTGATCAACTGCTATTTCCTCTTTGTTTTCAAGGTTGATTTTAATTTTTGGAAGCCTTCTTGTGACCCATGGTCTCTAGAAGTCAGAGTTTTTTTTTTTCCTTGCCTCCTCTTAATTCTTGTCCTCTGTGGATTTCCCCTTGCGCAGCAGAACTTCTGCCCTGGAGAAAGAAGTCTATAAGTGGTTAGGGTTGGGGGAAGCTTTGTTAGAAGACAGAACTTTTATATAGCCAGGGTTAGGAAGGGGAAATCTGTACCAAATTCCCAGTGTTGTATTGAAACAAGATACAAAAGCCATGTTAAATTGTTTAGATTCATTCTCTTACCACCATTCTTTCTTAAATATTTATTTATTTATTCATTCATTCATTCATTCTGAGGACTGAACCCAGAGGCTTCGTGCTGAGCTACATTCCCTGTAAACCCTTGTAAATTAAAAAAAAAATTTATGTTCTTTTGAGATAGAGTCTCACTAAGTCACTAAATTGCCAAGACTGGATTCCAAATTACAGTCCTCCTGCCTCAGCCTTCCAGAACATTGGGATCACAAGTGTGATCAGATAAGGGAAGTAAGAGGACAGATAAAAGAATATTACCAGCAGGGGAAGGAAATGGAGGCAGAAAGACAAGCTCTGACTATTAATTGCTTCCTTTAGAAATCCTAAGATGTTTTTTAAAAATTATTGCTATTTTTCCTTAAAATGAAGAATTAGCAATTCCCTCAAGAATTAGCAATTTCCCTCAATCTTATATGCATCCAAGAAATGAAATATCTTCCATTTGATTATTTAAGTATGCTTTCTTCATTAAATATGCTTTTTGGGACCTATCTTGTTTATGTTCTGGGCCATTGAATCTGGAGGACAAAGATGAATACACTAGAGTATATACTTTCTTGAGAAACTCACATATTGGCTGGCAAGAAAAAGCCATTAGTTTTAAGATGTGACATAGTGTGGTAGACACTGTGACAGATAGGCATGGGCAGTGTTTGAGGAACCCAGAGGAGGCAAGCATAACTTCCAGTTATTATTTGGAAGTTTGTACACTGCTATCTTACAGAATTGATTGTATGATCTCAAAGACTTTGATTGCACACTCAAAAGTACTTTCTGTACTTAAATGTTTTGGGACTTTCTACGCTCAACTTTCACTTCCTTGGGAGGTGATGGAACCTAAAAGTTAAGAGGAGGATTCCTGGATACAGGTAGACTTGAATTTCAAACCTGAACTCATACCTTGTCTTCCAGCTGGGTGACTTGGATAAATCGTTTACTCTCTCATATCCAAAAAAATGTACAAGTATTGGGGTTAAATGATATGACAGATGGTTTAGCATGGCACCTAACATGCAATAGATAATCATATATTTCTCCAGGTGATTATAGATATTTTCTTTATCTTTGGTATCAGTAGGAACAAGAACCTTGTTTATATTTAGCTTTGTAAACCACAGAATCAAAAATGAAATTAAAATAAAAACAAAGAAAGTCCATTTGGGAGCAACTCCAGAAACAAGCTCAGCTGGCAAAATCTGACTTTCAATGAAAGAGACTTTATGAAGTCCAGCAGTTGCAAACTGATGCATGTAAGCGTAGTTGTAAATTTTATAAGTTCGCTGGAATTGCACTGACCAGGTCAAGAAGCAAAAATGGTCACTGTAGTATTTTTCAAATCTTGCAGTTATTGTTATATCCTGAAAAATTGATTTCTCCAGCAGATTTAGTTCCTATGATGATTCTTTGTAGCAGTCTCCCTCCTGTCAGTAGGTCTCTAAGGCTCAGTAAAAGAGTTTTGCTTTCTCTCTTTTGATCATTCTGAAGCCATTCTGACTTTTATTTTATTTAGTTACATATCTCATGCACGCGCACACATACGCACACAGAGACACAGGCTTAACTGCTGATTTTTTAAAGAATATGGATTTTTGTGGTTAAAAAGACAGCTTAACCATTATAAAAAATGCAACACAAACATTTCTTTTAAAATGTATATAAATTAGCAATTTATTGAGGTAAGCTTATACATTCAAAAAAACGATCTGGCTCTGAAACAGAATACTCAAAACCTTTATATTATAATTTCAAATTATATATTATAATTTTAAAACCATTACATATAATATTTCAACTGGCACTTCATAAAATTATAAATATCAGTCAAATATAAGTTAACTCAAATTTCAAATATTTAAATTATCAATAAATTAAAAATAATAAAATAGTGTCCTAACACTTATACAGTCAGTTCTTCGTAGAGAACAAGATAAGGTAAATACTCAGTGGACAGGACATGTTTTCTGACCATAGGAAGAAATGCCCATGAACTGATACTAGTTTCTGCCTTCCCAATCTGCTTTCCGAATAGCCCTCAGACTATCCTGCAGAAATTCTTCAAGGCGCTGAAGGACGATTTCAGCTATCAAAAGCATCTGAGTCTGACTCTGTGTCTCCAGTTTCTCCAGCAGGGTGGCATCTGGAGTTGGGCTCAGGAATTCCATCTGTTCTGTATTGTTTATCTGAAAGGAAAAGAAAGCAGAGAGGATTGTTTACATGCTGCACAAGTACTTTGTGGTGGAGGGATGCTCTGGGCTGTGGGAAGATGTTTAAATTTGGGGTGAATGAGACTAATTTGGGTTAGCAGCCCTGATTCATCCGCTTGCAGGAGGTTTTGCTCCAAGCCCACCCCGAGAAAGATCCTTTCCCAGTGACTAAATTCTAGTCATCTCTTTGCTGCTGTTTGCCATTAGATGGTAAATATCCAGAGGGCAAAGCCATTATCTTATTTGTCTTCTCTTCTGTTATCCAAAGGGGTAGTAAAGAAGAACTTATAGCTAAAGGCAATTTAATGGGTTCTGAATCTAGTACTTTACTCCAGTTTTCCTCTCTATTCAGGAGCTGTTGAAAGTTCACTGATGTGGTGTTGTAAAGATGCCTGGAAACACTTTTCTATACAGCTGCTCACATGGCAATAAATAGCTTACAAAAGCCCCTGCACCTCAAAGTGTGGCCCTGGAGTAGAGCAGCATTGACATCCCTGGGGAGCGCCTTAGATATATATGAATCTTGGGCCTGACCCCAGACCTGATAAATCAGACTGCGGTGAACCCAGAGCCCAGGGTACTCCTGTGCACAGTAAAATATGGAAAGGATTGGTTTAAGGCAAAAAATTAGAAGTTGTAGAAGCAAATTTTATACCCAGAATTTTCTTCTAGCATCCTCTCATTGTACTTTGCTTGGTTCATCCACTCTCTGAGCCATCAACTCTCCCATGATCTGCCATTTAATAGTTAGCTGGTGGTAGCGAAAGCCCTTATCTTTTCTTTCCCAGTCTTTGGTCTTTGACCAATTTTCTACATTAACTCTCTGGAAACAAGAATGTCACTTGACAGTGATTAAAATATTAAAATCATTTTTGTGACATCTGTTCTTTTATAATGGCTCCCTGAGTGAGGTTAAACATGCTTCTGTTTAACTCTAACAGATATTTTTTCTTGTTTCTTAAGATATTAGAAATTGATGTTTAAATTCACGTAGTTTAATATTTCAAATTTTAAATGCAGTTATCAATGTTCTTTGCAGAAGAGATAAAACAGTGTTCAACTATTAGGAACTGTTGTTCAGACCCTCTCATTTGAATGTAGCCATCTCTGTCAAAACAGAATTACACCCTGAGCTGTCAGGTACTTTCCTTGAGCTTCTTTTCTCCTTGCCCCATAAAAGATGAGGCACACTCACCTTAGATTTCATGAACAGACTCAAGCTTTTGATACCAGCGTATATGTTTGCAGCTTTTTTGTTTTCAGACTCATTCTGAAGCTTGTTCTGCATGGACTGCAGGTAGGTCTGGAACTTGAAAAGACCAGGGGTGATTTTCAACTGGCATGTTTCCTATGAAAAAGAGATGGTAGGAAAATTTGTTACTGCTAGGAGACAAGAATCAATTTGAAAAGTTAAGCTTCCTACAATTCAGCCCTTTCTTTGCCCATCTAGAAAATTAGCTTAAGACACTGAATAGCAGCATCCACCATCTTGTTTTGAATATCTGGACTGTCAGAGGTACAATTACTGACTTTTACCTAGAGCCCAACGGATCCAAGAGTGTGGCAGTGAGAATCCTTTCCTAACTCCCCCTGATACTCTTCTTGCACTCCTACCCTTGTTAATGCTGGTTTGAAATCTCCTTTTATGGCATAATCATAAGTCAGTGCAAGTTATCTCACTGTCTGGAAGGAGAGGTATGTGGAGAATGAACTCAGCAGGGAAGATGGACCTGGATCCTGCCAGTAACAGCCAAAGAGGAGAAATCCTTCCCCAACCGCCTTATTAAGGTTGAAGTAGCTAATCTTGCTGGGGTTTCTAATATTTGGCAGTTATGAAAAGCACCTAACAGGCTGAGTGTGGTGGCCTGTGCCTATCATCCTAGTACTTGGGAGACTGAGGCAGGATTATTGCTGTGAGTTTGAGGCCAGCCTGGGTTACACAAGGAGTTCAAGGCCAAGCTGAACTGCATAGCAAGATTCTGTCAAAAAAAAAAAAAAAAAAAAGTTCCAACACACAAAGAAAATTCATGCCTTGTCAAAGATAAACTGCCTTTAAAAAGTTGTCAGCTCCTCATGGACTTTATATAATGTTCTTTGCATCTATCCTATTTTTGTTGCCTGTGCAGGACTATGTATCTGTAGACACTGCGTGCAAGAGGGAGAACTTTGGCTAAAAGGAAATGGCTAGAAGTAAATGTGACGTGCTCATACCCAGTTGTATCCATTGAAGAAGCATCCATCTTCTAGCTTCAACTTTGGGAGGTCCAGATTGTTTAAAATTGCCTTTTCAACATTATGTTTGTTCATCTAGGAAAGAATACCAGAATTGTTGTCATTTAAGTGCCCCTAAAACAAACACCACTAGAGGGCCAATTATGTTCTACTACAGTCAGGAAAGTCTGTTTTGAAAAAAGGAAGTCAAAATTTATTGGCATCTTGACAAGCAGAGTGTAGTGGAATTAGTTGGGCTCAATTCCAGGCTCACCTGGAACTCTAGGTTTGTTCTCTATTCTGAATCTCAGTTTCTTATTTCCAAATTGAGAATCACTAAACATATCTCTGGCATGTTTCTTTAGATGATTAGATATACTAATTATATATAAAGTACATAGCTTGTGGTTGGTACTTAATAAGTGTTAACAGCCGAGAGAGGTAGCACATGCCAGTAATCCTAATACTTGGGAGGCTGAAGCAGGAAGATCACTGAGAGTTGGAGGCTAGTGTAGGCTACAAAGTGAGCTAAGACCATCCTGACCTTCACAGTAAGATCCTGAACTACACAGCAAGACCCTGTCTTAAAAAAACAAAAAGTGGTAATAATTTCAAAGATAGTTTAGGACAAATAAAATATAAACCATAGAATGACCCATCTGGAAGGTCTTGTGAGATCTAGTTTAACTCCATAATTTTACAGATAAGAATCCAGAAATGGTACAGATTTTGCCCAGGATTACTAAGCTTAGCAATGAGAATCTTGACTTTTAATCTTCTCTCTCCTGTGCTCTTTTATTTCTATCAAACAGCTGAAACACTTTCATTTAAAGTTGGGAGATACTTTAACCTATTTATGACTTTGTCCCTTTGACGAGTCTTGAAGTAGCATTTTGGCCAGAATGACCCTGGAGAGTCCTAACCACTAAATTTATGTGACGTAAAAGTACTGCAAACTGCCTGAGAAACTGAACATTCATTTTAGTGGCATTTTTCTAATCCTCTCAAAGTCCAAGGGACAAATGAATGTTGGTGGACCTTACTCTTTGGTCACAGAAAAGGAATTCTTGACCATTCAGGCTAAGTGTGAAGCCAAAAATGAATGAGGGAATATGAGTTCCAGCCCCATTCTGCATTTTTTCAGAAAGTAAAGAAACTTCCTGATACCACTAGCAAAGAAGAAATACAGACCACAGTCTAGTCTATCCCAGAACCCAGCACAGACCTCCCAACACACAAGCTTCTTGTCCATTCTGGGTGAAGGAGAATGAATGAATGCCCATGTGCGGGCCACCAAGTTACCCACCTCATTTTTCAGTTCCTTGACAGCCTGGTAAACTCGCATAAACATTTGAAAGACTTGTGAAGCAGAGGTTGTTGGTTTATTTGGCATTGTTGTAGTCATCTCAGCTGTAGTCATCTCATCTGTCGTATCAGCTGTGAAGTCGTGCTGAACTTGTGCAGTGGGGAATGCAGTAACTGATACCAAGAGCAGCCCCAAGAAGGCAAGGGGACGGAAGGTGCCTGGACGGAAAGGAAGGGAGAACAGCCAGTGAGCTGACAGCACAGCTGGGAGCCTGCTGTTGATGCTGGCTGGAAGCCAGCACTCACTCAGCCACACACCTCCTCCCTCATACGGGAGGAGCACCATCAGCCAGCACTTCGAGGGCTAGGGGTTTCCTTCACTTACTTGTGGAGAGGAACTTCATAGCTGTTCCTGGAAGGTGGATGGAGGGCAAGATGGAGCTAGCTCTGTTTCGTTCCTGGTGGGCTCAGGAGCAGAATGAGCTTCAGACATCTCCTGTCTCATATTTATTGGGAGTTGAGACTCTAATTTTGAGACTCATGGGAAAATCCCACATTTGATAAAATCTTTGTTGGACCGTGGAGGTGGGGCCAGAGTGGGTGGAGCTGATTGGAAACCTCATTTAAGATTGTGCAATGTGACGTCGTTCAGCATCGAAGAAAAGAATCACAACTGGGGAAAAAAAAAGTGTGGCTTAGGTCATCACTGAGGCTAGCCCTAAGAATCAAGATCACTCTTCCTTTACTTTCTTCTTTTTTTTTTCTAGTGACTCAGCACTTTAGTATGTCTTGGGAAAGTAAAGGCTTAAGTCATGTACAATGTTTTATGAGGAGGGAAAAACAGAAGCTAAAACTGGCTATAATTTCAAAAACAATACTTTTCATTTCCAGATGGAGATGCTAAGATTTAATAATCCAACTATTTCATATTTGTAAAACACCTAAGATGTTTTACAAATGTTTTACCACAGACCTTTAAGCCTGAGGTTATACAGAAGATATTATTACCGGTCATTTCCTTTGTTTCTTGGCCCGCCCCATGACCATCTGTTGCAGAATGGCCTGGCTACCATCAGATCCTATGCAGTCATTTCTAGAAGTCTCCATGTGGAGTGCTGTGCATGCATAAATGATAACTTTTTGGTATTTAGTATCATCTGCCAGTTTTTCTCCTTACCTATTCCAGCCCACTTCACTGCTATGCTGCTCTCCCCCTAGTGGCCTCCTGGGGACCTTCTTGTAAGCACTTTGATCACTGATACAGGGTGGTCCCTACTGTGCCTGGGTCTCTCTACCACTGCCAGCAATCCTGGGATTGCTGCTCTGGGGCACTTTGAAGTGCTCAGATGGATGCTTGGCCCCCTAGAGCTCTCAAGTTGCTGAAGCCAACTTGGTTCAGGGTAGGAATATGGGAGAAAACTACTCACTTTGATGAGTTGGTCAGAGGAGAACCTGTGGCATCTTCTCAAAATTGTGTTTGTAGTATTTGAATGCAAAGGAGATGACTCTAGGCTCTGAATCACACCTTATTCTTCAGTACCTAAGTCTTGGTTGTTGGATGGACCTTGACCAGAATTCTTCGTAGGATGACTCCATTCACAGGAAGAGTCCTTGACCCCCAAACGTAAACTCCAGGCCAGGGTGCCCCATAGTGCTGCAGACACCCAGGCATTTCCCAAGGAATGGCTCCAGGTTGCAGTTAGAAGCCTTGTATGGTTTCCATAAAAATCATTTAGAAAATACATTGTTGACATTATAATTTCCTGTTTTGCTTTGCAAAGAAGTTCTCTTCAGTTACTGAAACAATGACTTGTGCTATAGGGTATTTAAAACGTGGATTGATTTACTTAAGTTTTGTTTCATGCATAACATGTCAGGATCCACTTGTTGAAGAAAATGAGGTCATCTACTTTCATGTCTAAACAAGAGACAGTGTCCTCTGGGTCCTGTGGCCATCATGGGGGTTTTTAGTTTGAAAATGAAAATGAGGAAGGATGGCAGGATGGTTTCACTTTTCATGCTGTGTGGTCTAGAGCAGCATAGACATGCATGAGCCACTGCCTATTTCCTGCCTAAAACCCACCCATTGTAAGAGGCCCCCTTGGGATGGAATTGCTTTTCCTTAGTTATCTATTTTTTAGAAAATATGCCCCAGTAAAGTTCAAGTAGTTGAACTTAGTAACTTGACACAACATACAGATTTATCTTTTCAATAACAAGTACTTTTTTTAAAAAAAAAATAGCTGTATGTATGTAGAATAAAATGTTTGAGCAAGAAGTTTCCCTCCTTTCCTAGCTCCTGGTCCGAGAGGTAGTGTCTCATTCACGTATTTTTTTTGTTTGTTTGTTTGTTTTTTTGTCTTTTTCATTTTTATCGGTACCGGGGATCGAACTCATGACTGCCTGCTTGCAAGGCAGGTGCTTATGCCGCTGAGCTAAACCCCCAGCCCCTCATTCACGTATTTTTAATTAAATCCTTCATTATTCTAATTTTTTTTTCTGACCTTTCAGGTACTCAGTTTTGTGTTGACAGTACACACACACACACTTGACAGCACACAAACACACACACACACACACAGATATGTACACACAAGTTCTCAGTGGTTTGGATGCTATCTTTGCACCTCTTGATGATAGTGTACATGGGCTCTCAGGTCTCACATTTGAGTTAAAAGCCAGCTCTTTCACCTAGTAGCTTCTTGACTCTGCCTAAATTATCCCCAGAATCTGTGCACTGTTCATTAACTTTTGGGATAAGAGTTCTTTCTTTATTGGGCTGTTGTGAAGATTGAATAAAGATAGAGTGTAAAAACCCCTGAGGCATAGTAATTTCATCATCAAGCACTAAATCTGTGATATTCCTCGGCTAGAGCTTCTGCTGTAGGGAACTCTTCTGTTGTGATTCTGTCAATTCACCTGAGGTCTTACCTATGGAATTACTATAAGAATCCAGGTCACTGTGCCAATGATAAGATGTTCTCCCAATCATTTTCCCTTAAAAAAAAATGAAACTCTGTATTCAGGTAAAAATTCTTTGTGACACACAGTGGAAAATGAAATTTCCCCCCTCTTTTTTTTTTGAGGACGGTAAGGCAACCAAATAAGGGCCTTTGGTTTTTGAACATTAGCCCAATTATGTCTTGTTACTAGATCTTTTCTAAAGCCTTTAGCTGATTATTTTTCTATCAGAAGTTCACAGCTTTTCTTATGCATGGCCATCATTTCCTGAGAGAACAGGACATCAGCGCATCCAGGGAGAAGTAAAAGTTCCCAAGCTTTAGGGGTACAGGGGACTGACAATGCCAGACCTGTGCTTCTGACAGGTTACGTGGAGATGCGATGCCCTCTTATGTTCTGCTATCATAATTCTGTATTGATATCCATGTCCTAGATTGTCTTTTGTGTGCATGTGTAAAACAGATTCTTACTCCAAAGCATCTACTTCTCTTCTCCTACTCTTTCATCTTCTTCTTCTTCTTCTTCTTCTTCTTCTTCTTCTTCTTCTTCTTCTTCTTCTTCTTCTTCTTCTTCTTCTTCTTCTCCTTCTTCTTCTTCTTCTTCTTCTTCTTCTTCTTCTTCTTCTTCTTCTTCTTCTTCTTCTTCTTCTTCTTCTTTTTCTTCTTCTATCAGTGGGTTTCAGCTTGGAGAGATCTTCACTAGTTACTTTATTTTTTTCCCCTTAGAGCAGTTTTAAATCCACAGTAAAACTGAGAGGAAAGTAGAAAGATTCCGCAAATATTCACTGCCCCCAAAATCTCTCCCACAGTTTAATGTGTATGAATGAACAAGAAAGGCTATAGCATCAGTATTTATTAGCAACTTTAGTTGCTAGGTCGGACCATTGCTGGTCTGAAGTGACTGCCACCTGAGACCAAGAGGAGAAGGAAAAATGGGGTATTGCAAAGGAAAAAGGAAGCTTGTTGTATGGGCTGGCTGTGTCCCCTGCGTTACTACCTATGTATGGTTTCCTACATGGTGGTGAAGTACACTTCAGAGGGGTCATGAATACATTCTACGTGAGGAGAAAAAAGGGAATTTCCCCTTGGTAATGGAGAAGTCCTCTGTAGAAGTAACAGTATTCCCCACATCTCATTAGCAATAATAGTGTGCTCTTTGGCTATATTCTGGGATTGAAAATGGGCAGGTCTATGATTTAACAGGAGGGAGTATCCCAAGAAATAGAGAGAAGTCTCTGGGGAACTTGCAGTTGTTTATAGAATGCAGATACACTTGTCACCAAAGCAGAAGAAATTTATAAACTGAAACAGTGAGTGATTTGACAGCTTCTTCTGGTATAAAATCCTACTGGGCAAATGCTAGGCCTAAGGCCTCTGGGAAAGTCTTGCTTTGGGAAAAGTGTTGTTATTTCTTGAGGACAGAATAGTAGGGATATATAATATGCATATTTGGAAAGTATTAATTGAGCTTGGAGCACAGTCAGGCCCAGTGACCAAGCTTTTGACAGTTGCCAGCCTGGTCTAATCCTAGTTCTAATCTCAGAGTCTCAGCACTGAAGTCCTGTGGCAGCTCTTCATTGTCTACCCATAGCTTCTCAGAGGCAGTGGGTGCAGTGGGGATGAATCCAGCTTCCCAAAGGCCAACGAAGGGGCACATCTACCGTGCCATGTTTCATCCGCTCTGTGCCTTCACTATTTTGCTATGTACTAAGTTACTTTCCTTCTGCCAAAGTGGAAAATCCCAATCATCTCAGGAGGAAAATGATCTCTCTTGGGACAATGGTATGGTCTCCCTGCCTCAGGATCTCTAGCATCCTTTCCACATGATCCTTTGGTCTGGCTGAAAAAGAGTGTTGGAAATCAAGCTATTGACAAGTCAGCAACAAACTAAATACATAGAAGTACGTATGATAGCCTTTTTGGTAAGAGAATCTGATTGTTGTAAAGACACAGAAAAAAACCCTCAGGGATCATAATACTCCAGCCCAGACACAGACCACTATGGGGGCCCAGCAGCACAGAACAAGAGACAGGCCTGGCAAAACATCAACGGTAGCCAGCCAGCCCAGGCTTCCTGGGCACCCAGATAGTGATTTGGTGATAAGAAATTGCTTTGCATAGTAGAGGGGCTTCAGAGCATGGGAGATCCTTCAGGCTGAATTTCTGAGCTTTGTCTCTTCTCCTCTGTGGAGTCAGTTTCTATGTTGTGGGGCTCCTAGTTCTGCTTTACAATTAGGAAGCTTCAGCTCAGAGGAATCAGTTAATTTATTCTCGGTAGTCATTTGAACCGTCATTGGTTTCTCCAACAAGTTAGTTCTCCGAGTTCAGTGTTATAAGCAGAAACTGAGCATGCAAAGTACTAGCTGTTTCTCTTCACTCTTTCCTCTCAAAATTAAGATACCAAGTACCCCCTTGAAAGTATCACATGTAATGGAGAGACCAGGGGATTCTGCTGGCCTGGATATGATGTGTTTCACCTCCTTTCTCTACCCTTTTGGCTAGTAATTTGCTCACAAGACCATCTTAGTTCCTCTCAGTAAAGCTTCATTGTGTTTTTAGCAAGCTGAGTTTAT